ACAAGTGTTTGAAACAGGATTCTTTTTTGGGACTGATGAAGTATAGTAGTATACACACCTTGACTTCGTCATAGAGTTTTTTCTCCCAAGCATGCAACCGGTCTAAGGTTGAGGCATGACTTCCTGAGTTCATACAGAAGTTATCAAAGAGATTTTTGGTGTGTTCATCAGTTGAGTTCACACCCAGCAGGTTTCTTGATGAAGAAGAAAACGAAGTTGTGCGATGCCATGTCATATACTTGGGGGAACTTTGAGGCGCTTCTTCTTTCTCTGAACAGAGATAAAAACAACGTCGACATTTTAAATAGGGCTTAGAGGGTAAGGATATTCAAAACAAGATAGGTAACTAAAGGAGATATCTTTAATATGAACAAAAAGGATAATGGTTTATTATCAAACAAGGGAAAAACATTAATCCCTTTTTATTCCAAATGATGTACTTCATTTGCAAAGGATCTTCCTAAAAACACTTCATAAATATAAAAATATATTAACATTATAAATTTTATATCTCCTAGCCCAACATAATTCGGATTGAGGTGATGGTGATGGTTAAGTAAAACCAACAATTACAAAATACAGTATGCCATTATGGTGGAAAGCCAACCATAATAGAAAATTGAGGGGCCTACCTTCTGGAACTTGGCTTGGATCTGCACCGCAAGAGAAACAAGACCTTAGCAATGTCTTGGCAATTGAAACTCCTACATAAAACAGATATCCCCCATCAAATAGAGACCTTAGCTTAAAAAGTCCATACGATTTATATCGGGAACTAAGTAACTAAGGATTTCTTCAAGTTCATAACAAATCTCATATTCTTATAACAATTGACAAAATGTAAATCCCGGACAATCCCCTCACCCAACTTTCAAATTTCAACCCTAACTAGTCTGCTGCAAGCATAGTCCAAATTTCAAATGAAAAATATTTATTGAAACTACGCATTCATGCAAAGAAGCTTAATATTCTGCACCATTGCCATTAACGGTGCCAAGAAATTTAACGAAACAACCTACAATATGTACATGCACATATGTCTCTTTATTGCGGGGAAGTAACTTGTTTCATTGAAAAGAAAATGACTTTTTCTGTAAATATTGGAAAACTAAGTTGTTATGATTATACTCTGTATCTCCGTAATACAATGTTTAACCAACGATAACAGAAAACATAAATCAGTTACAGGAAAATGACTCAAAAAAGAAGTCATTCTCCACAAAATTTCAAAGGACCACAAAAAATGTTATCCTTTAAAATGTGTTCCAATCTCAAATACAAGAAAATCTAGAGAAACATTTTTCAGGACAATATTTCCTTGAAAACAAATGGTGCCTAGAAAACATTTTCCAGTAAAAACAATTTAGTCATATACATGTATGTGGTTGAGTAAGAGAGTGTGTGTCTGAGTCTCTGAGAGAGAGAGAGAGAGAGAGAGATTACTTCTAGCACCGGGAATAATAGGGCGAAAATTAAATTTATTCGCTTCCAGCATCAGTGGAACCTCCCTTCCAGATTCAGATGCTTTTATAAACAGCCGTTCAATGTCTCTCATGCTAGAAAAAAAGTCCTTAGGTACAACCTTATTTTCAACACCATTTTCCTTCATTACTGTCTTGACATCATCTTCAGCAGTGGCAACCCCTGAAAACTCGGGTCCAAGTGGTGACAATTCAGGGGAACCACATTTCTCCCCATCCACGCCCTTCACTACCAATGCTACACTCTGATCATCAGCAGCAGATGCTTCATTCGCCCTGTTGACATTTTCAAACTTCCTAACTAGTGTCTCTGTAGATGGATCATCAAACCCATCATCAGACTCGTGTGGTGAATCTCTTCCAGGTGACCAAACATTTTGTTGATCATCCCCTGACAGAGGAATTTCGCTGCCTTCCTCCCCATTCTCTCTAATATGATCTTCAGATGTGTGGCCAAGACCAAAAAAATCCCAAGGAGGGGTTTCAAATGGTGATGTTTCGTGCTTTCCTGTGGAATGAGGCATCGAGTTCTGAGGAGTGAGTGAGGTAACAGTGACAGTGACTGGAACAGCGGGGGTTTCTTCAACTTTCTTTGAGAAGGTACCGCTAAATTTCATGTGATTTGCATTGTATCTCGTTGAGGTTGAGGGTGAAGGAGACGGCAATGCATTCTCACTGCCATCCACATGGTGTGATGATTTAGGCACAGGAGAGAATGAGAATTGGGAAAGGGATCTTTCAGTTGGAGTATAGATTGCAGATTCAAACGGAGCTTCAGGTTCAACAAATTTCCTCAAAGCATTTCCTGTTATTTTCAAAGAATCTATATAAGCAACATGAGTAGCTGCCAAAGAACACCGTCCGTCAAGTGCTTGTCTGACAATCTTTTTCCTGTCCCGGCATATCTGTAAGGCCTTATTTTCTTCAGCCCTAGAATTAGAAGTCCCCATAGAAGTCTCCACAACCCAACCTCCACAATTATTTAAGATCAATTTATCTATGTGCCAAACCTACACATGCATTCTTCAAGGTTCCAATGACTCTGTATCAAATTAAAAGTCCTAAATACCAAAAAAGAATTTAGCAAGTGCAGGGATTGATGTAATACAGGAGAATGACAGTGATAAATGGTCACCCAAGAATTGAAAAAAAAAAACTTAATTGAACCAAAACATCATACAGATCAAACAAGCGTCTAGGTAAAACATAGCTGAACCTAAAATCAGAGAAAACAATATTCTAATTAAGACAGGGGAATTACAACTGGAGAAAGAAAACTGTACAAAGTTCCTAACTTTAACACGATTCCAGAAAAAGTAAATAAATACTAGCCGAAATTGAATAAAAAAACACAAAGACAAATATTAAATTAATGAAGAGATGAAAACCTAACAATCACAGAGAAAACATGGAGTAATTGAAGAGCTGATCACCTGATATATGAATTCAAGAGACAAAAATGGTAAATTTGAGCACCAAAGAAACTGAAAAAAAACGAATATGAGATCTGGTGACAGTACCTGAACGATGGAACTGGGGAAGATCTTGGATTTTAGTGAAGAGCCCGGTACGGAAAAGGAATGACCAGCCGACAAGAATTGCTACACAGAGAAGTTGGGGACCTATAGAGAGATACGGGATTCTATCTATCTATACAACATACAAGTCTGAGACTCCTGGCTTCCTGAGAGATGAAGGGGAAAGAGTCGCCATAGCAGCCCAGACCATGCAGAAGGTATGAGGAAACAGCTGAGAGGAAGAAAACTGAGTTAAGGAGGTGATGGCTGATGTGTTGACTCGTGGGCCCACTCTCTGAATCACTGTAACTTTACATTAAACTCTCAAAGTGCGTGATCTGTCTTGGGATAGTCACTTCTGTTTCTTTCCGCTTTTCCGAAAGAAAATTCTCCCTTTTAGAAAGAAAAGAGATTGAAAAAAAGAAAATTTACATGATCCCACCTTAAAGAATTTGTTAACTTTTTCTCCCAATTTTATTACGGGAATGAGGTGGTACTATTTTTCGGCTTATCAGGCTTATCGGCCAACTTTTTCACCAAACATGTAATTTTTACTTTCGCGCGTTGAGTTGTGTAATAAGCAGAAAAAAGAAGATTGAAGTTACTTTTCTGGCTGTTTTGATTGAAGTTACTGTAGATGACCATTTTTGTTATTTTTACATATAATTTTTTCTTTATTTTATTAATAAAATATATTTTAAAAATAATTGTTTCTTAAATTAGCAGAATCAGTCAATGCAGTCACTTCAGCCAGAACTTCAGAAATTTCAGCAGAATCAGCCAAAACAACCGATTTTCGTGCTACCAAACGGGCTCTAAACTTTGTCAATTTAGAATTCAAATGGTCAATAGAATTACTTCTCGTTCTTTGATTTTGATTTTTTTTTATTAAATTAAATTTTATTCATTCATTCAAAAAAAATTAAATTTTATTTTGGTTTAAATATGGTTTTAATCCTTGCAAATATGACACATTTTGTTTTAGGTCACTGCAAAATATTTTCTTTATTTTTCATCCCTGTAATATGCGATATTTTGGTTTTAGTCCATCTCTAACTCCGAAACAACTCGACTTGGATTTTTTTCTATTGTTGGTTACATATATCTATTAGAAACTTCTAAATTTATCAGTTTATAATTTTTAAGGCTAATAAGAGTGTTAAAACAATATGAAAAATAATTATTTGCATTTTGAAAATATGTATTAAAAATCCTCAAAAAATGAAATTAAATACTTTTTGAATGACATGACAAAGAATTAAAGGATACCTGTTAGCCGGGATTGTTTCGTTGTCAAGCGGAGGTTGTGTCATTAGTCATGGTCTAAAAAGAAAATCAACATAAATTTGAGGGATAAAAACAAAGAAAATGTTTTGCAGAGACCTAAAACAAAGTGTGTTATATTTCCAATAAATCTTTTGGGTCATTTGTAGGGGAGGGTAAATGGAATCAAGATGGTTAAAAATGTATTTACTCTCTATTAAGTACTTGGACTAATTTCAGTTCCAAATCAGATCAGACTAGATTTAAGCTAAGCAGATTAAACTAGACCAGACCAGACATAAATAGGCCAGATCAGATCAAACTTCAATAACTATTCCTTCAAAAGAATGACCAAAATAATACAATGAGGCTTCCAATTGACAAAAATGAGACTAGATTTCCGTATGAACAAAAAACAGATCAAATAAAAATTAAAAGACTAAAGTGCCCTCCAAGTAATTCCCGTCCAAATAATGGTCTGTTTGGATGGAGTGTTGGAAGGTGTTAGTAATGGAAGTGTTAGTAAAAGTTGGCAGGAGCCCGAAAGGGAAGGTAAGTGTAAGTGTTGGACATAATCTTACCTTGTTTGAGGGAGTTAAAAAAAGAAGTGTTACTAATGGAAGTGTTTACACTTAAATTAACAAAATTATCCTTATATCTTTTAAATTGTTACTACCTCCGTTCCTAAAAATTCTTCCAAGTTTGAATGACACGATTATTAAGAAAGTAGAAATGTGTGGTTGTGGTTGTGTAAGAAAAAGGTAAAATGAATGTGAATCATATAAATTGTCCAAATGGGGAAATTGGGAACTATTTTTTGTAACGGCCTAAAAAGGAAAGTGAGAAGTATTTTTGGGAAAGGATAGAGTATTAAGTATCCATGATTGCATAATACGAGTAGATGAAAAAATCAAAGAAGCCCCTGGACATCTAGAACTCACAGGTCGCCAGGTCGGTCATCTTCTCTATTTTGCAACTTTTAACTATTCGTACATTTGATAATTAAAATTGTGATGAAAGAAATCAATAGCTGAGATTGATGCCACCAAAAAATGAAACCCATATGTATTTCATAGAAAAGACCCAAAATTTTACAACAGTCTGTGAAGAACTGGGGTTGACCTACCCCATTCGATAGTTGAATAAGATCAATTTGTCCAGCTTTATATACGAAATATTAAAATACTTCACAGTCCAAAAAATAATAGAGGAACTGTTATCCCAAATTTCATAACCGTCCATAGAAAAACCGAAAAAAAGAGAAGACAAAAAAGAGAGGACAAATCTGAGAAGAAGAAGAAGAAAAATCGGCTCTCTGTCCGCTGCGGATGAAGAATGGGGAAGAACGTGGGGTATAAAGTACTCCGTATAATTGAATCTTACGCCCCGTTTGCATTTAGTGTTAGGAATGGAAGTGTTAGTAAGTATTGGTAATAATACTTGTTTGGAAGAAAATTTAAGAGGTGTTAAGAAGTGTTAGTAAATGTTAGAAAGTGTTAATAATAATAATTTTCCCAAACACCTCAACTGTCCACTTTTAGAACAGTCTGATTTGAAGTGTTTTGAGGTGTTGGACAATTATTACCCTTCTTATTTATCCTAAAAACATAAAATGCTTCGACATTTCACTTTGAATCTCTTTCCCGCAGGTCTCATGATCTATCTTTTTCATCTCTTCTCTTTACTCGTTTCTTTTGCCTCAAAGTAAAATTATTAATAACTCCATAATTAACACTTCATACATTTGGCTCTCTCAAACAAGGTAAAATTATGTCCAACCCTTATACTTCTCTTCCCTTCCAGACCCTTACTAACACTTACTAATACTTCCATTACTAACACCTCCAAACACTTCATCCAAACAGGCCCTTATTTTAGAAATAATAAGGGCAAAGGTTGTTAAAAAATGGTAAATATAAGTGTTAGGAAGGTTATGATTAACACCCTCAAACACTTACTAACACCTTTAAAATCGTTTAATTCTTCTCTCAAACAAGTGTTAAGATAAACACTTCATAACACTTCTTTTACTAACACCCCTTAACACTCAATCCAAACAGGTCGTACAAGCCCAACAACTCTGCAATCGCTTCTTGATCGGATCGGAACTATGCATCTCTTCTTTCTCGTCTAAGTCTGGTTCTCCTCACGGCAAAGCGCCGTCGCACAGCTGCATCACGCATGCCACCACCTCGCGTCACACACCATTACGGTCACTGCACCGCCATCCGTTGCTCCACCGCTCTCTCTCATGTGACGTCGTCGCCTTCGACGCTACCTTTGGCCGATTTCTTTATCTTCTCGTTCTGTTTGGTCGTAGGGAAGGTAATAGGTGACTGATAATAATAGTGTTCCATTTATGGTGTCTTAGGCTTCATTGCGGCAGTTACAGTCTAGATCTGATCTGGATGACTAGTGTTTGGGGCTAGATCGGGCTGGGATGGGGCTGGAGACGGATGGAGGATGGCTGGTTGGGCTGTTCGAAGCTAGAGAAGGGTAGATCGGGGATAGGGAGGGGGTGGAGAGGTGGCTGGGGAAGCTATGGAGGGCGGCGGCCACATGACGACAGTGGTGGCGGTCACCGGAAGAGGTGGGACGGAGGTCACTGGAGAGCGGCTGGGTTGGGCTGTTCGAAGTTGGGGAGGGGGAATGGAGAGGTGGCTGGGGAAGCTAGGGAGGGGGCAGCCACAGGACGATGGTGGGGGTGGTCACCGGAAGTAGTGGAGCAGAGGTCACTCGCCAGAGAATGGATATGCTTGGTGGTCACCGGAGTCACTATCGGTCGTGGTGACTATGAAGGGTGGCGGCGGCGACTTGATGGAGCAACATTGCTTATTGAGTGTGGAGACGGTGGTGATAGGCAGTGGCGTTGGCGGTTTGAAAAATTGTCACTACGGATCAGTAACTGTGACAGGCAACGACAAGTCACTAATGATTTTTTGTCAGTGACGGTTTTTTGGCCACTGACTGAATTTTGTAAATGTGTATTTGTCACATTCGAAGGAAGTCATTGTGATATTGGTCTCATTGGGCGAAGTAGGAGTATGTGGGCCGGGGTCTCTGAGCCATATACCTCATCAAAAGATGTTTGGAATAAGTGTTAGACTTATTTATCTAATGACATGCTTTATAACTGATGTATTTATATTTTGCACACTTTTTAGATTTAGTTTATTGATCATTTTAGTTATTAAAGTTGTATTTTTGTACATATTTTTTATTATTTGTTGTTAGTTTGTTTAGTGCGGTCCTATATGTGTATTTTATATTTTCAACTACTTTTGATGCTATTTGGATCATATGTGCATAAGGAAAAGAAGAGAATAAAATTCCAAGTTGAATGTCAATAAAAGTGGAATTTCCTTCAAAGCAAATAAGGAGCAAATTGAAGAAAAAGAAGAAGAAAAAACGAAAATGGTGGAGACGAGACTCAAACCCTGATGTAGAGGGAAGTCATGCTCAACCAATGAGCTGAATGTCAATGTTGGAAAAAGTCGTCTGGAAGTGAAATTTACCTTGGTTTCAGGTGGGGATGTCTAAGTATGGCAATGGGGGCGGGGACCCGTGGGGAACCGCCTAGCGGGGGGAGGATGGAGAGGGGCTTGGGGTGGGGGTGGGGGTGGGAGGGAAATTTTTACCCCGTTAAAATATGGGGCGGGGGACGGGAATTGCTACACCCGCCCCGCCCCCGCCCCCGCCCCCGTCTCCGTCCCTTCCCCGTTATAAATACATTCTCAAACATACATATACACATATACTCCATATAAACAATGTACAAACATATTAACTTAAATTATATGTGGTATATAACATGCACATGCACATCCACATCCACATCCACATACACATACACATACACATACACATACACATACACATACACATACACATACACATACACATACACATACACATACACATACACATACACATACACATACACATACACATACACATACACATACACATACACATACACATACACATACACATACACATACACATACACATACACATACACATACACATACACATACACATACACATACACATACACATACACATACACATACACATACACATACACATACACATACACATACACATACACATACACATACACATACACATACACATACACATACACATACACATACACATACACATACACATACACATACACATACACATACACATACACATACACATACACATACACATACACATACACATACACATACACATACACATACACATACACATACACATACACATACACATACACATACACATACACATACACATACACATACACATACACATACACATACACATACACATACACATACACATACACATACACATACACATACACATACACATACACATACACATACACATACACATACACATACACATACACATACACATACACATACACATACACATACACATACACATACACATACACATACACATACACATACACATACACATACACATACACATACACATACACATACACATACACATACACATACACATACACATACACATACACATACACATACACATACACATACACATACACATACACATACACATACACATACACATACACATACACATACACATACACATACACATACACATACACATACACATACACATACACATACACATACACATACACATACACATACACATACACATACACATACACATACACATACACATACACATACACATACACATACACATACACATACACATACACATACACATACACATACACATACACATACACATACACATACACATACACATACACATACACATACACATACACATACACATACACATACACATACACATACACATACACATACACATACACATACACATACACATACACATACACATACACATACACATACACATACACATACACATACACATACACATACACATACACATACCAAAAATTCTATTGGTACACATTTTTCATACACACACCTACACACTCGTGTTACGTTTGTAAAGAGTTTTTTTGTCTGTATACAGACATAACATATTTTCAAAAACTCTTCATAAACATGAGGGTGTAGATGTGTGTAAAAATGTGTACCTCAAGTTGGATCACACACACACACATATACATATACATGGGTGGGATCACATACAAACTAGTTCTCCCATGCTAACCTACAAATTGTCACAAACCGTGCATCTTTGCATTATTTGTATTAAATATTAAAGTTCAAAGTGTTGCATATTATTGAGTTTGTAGGTAAATATTTTAAGCATGGTTTATATTTGATCTTTTATCTATAATCTATATATATATATACACACACACACACATTGTATTAATATTTTTGAGATATGTATATATATATATACATACCTATAATTAATAAAGTATATAATATCCCTCCTCAAGATCGAGTATATAGGACAGTTTTTTCCACTCCCAGTGCATGCAACCAATGGATCCAATCATCCCAGGAAAGCCTCTTTTTGCGGCCTTTTTCAAGAAGACGGTGCATATCTCTCGAGTTAGGGGTTTGTAGGCACCAAGAACCATACACACTAACAATTGTCCTACAAAATTTATTTATGCACAAAAGTGTGGTCGTCTCACTCAAACGACATAACGGTTCTAATGAATCAGCCGAGCAACCATTGGCGAGCATAAATATCGAACTAGTGAGTTTTTGTTGAGGAGAAAGAGATACCTTGTTTGCTGCATCTATTATACTTAGAAAATAGGGTTCGAAAGTCGTGATATCTTTCTTGATTCGATTGAACAAAGTCAGTTGCAAGTGATAACAACGTAGGAAGATACGTGCATTGTAGGTGGGATTTGGATTCAATTAATCATCCATCAACAAACGTTGTCCAGCTTCTCGACCACGGTCTATGTACTCACAACTATTGGAGTTTGTTGCAACTTGCAACCAAAGAAGCCATCAAAGTCATGCACATGCAGTCAGAATAGGCTTCTTCATCTCCATTAATGGGCTTGTAAAATGCGGGAAAAGAACTTGTGATTTTTTCGCCTTGTTGTAGAATACTTGAAAATGGGAGAAGTAAAGATGAGGTGTGTGCAGTGGCGGATCCAGGATTCAAAGCTATTGGGGGCAGAGTAGGGATGGACCGGGTCCGGGCGGTCCGACCCGGGACCAACCCAGGCCAAGACCAGTACTGTTAGGACCGTCCGGGACCAGTTTTTCGGTACCGACGCTACACGGACTAACGTAGAAACAGACGAGCTCGAGCTTGATATTTTGGGACAGGATCGGCCGGTCCTGGGCCCGGTTCCAGTCTCAATGGATATACTTTTATTTTTTTAATTAGAGGGTGGGTACTGATCCGAGACCGGTACTATTTGGACCCAGACCAAAACCAATCTGGGTCGGTACCGGACTTCAATTATTTAGAAGCTGGACCAGTTAGACCCGTGCCCAGGACTGACCCGGCTCTATACCTAGAAAATAGTAAGATGACTTACATAATGGCAGTACAAAACAAAAGGACAATAAGATATATCCAAATCAAAAAGGTTTGTTTTTACATAAATATTACTAAAGTAAAACTTATTTACACAAATGTGACTATTAGTTATTACAATGTGGTGTCATTGTAACTCAAGTTTAAAATATATACATAAGTTACTATGATATCATTACTACTCAAGTCATTAATCACATTTTTGTAAACAATCTTCATTTTAGTCATAAATATATAAAAATAAAATATAATTGTGCCACTACTAATTCTTAATACAATACACCCCCTATCATTTTTATAAATTCGAATAAATTTTACACATTAGGTTTAAACAACATACAAATTGTATAAATACAAATTATACAATAGTGAAATAGTTAATACTGGTTTAGAGAGAAACCTACACTCGTTCTTCTCTTTTCTAGACCAGGCTCTAACGAGAGAACTACTCCAGCTTGTCGTTAGCTGAATTGCTCTAATTTTAGAATCTACAGCCTTCACGATTAAAGAATTTGAAAAGTTTTTTAATTTGGATTTTGGGGATGCGGCTGTTTGGGTTTATTGAACTATAGATAAGGGGGCATTTATTTTTTAATTGGGGGCATTTATATTTTTTAATTGGGGGCATTTATATGGAATGAGATTTTTCTTAATGAATTATAACAAAATAGTGTTTGTTTATTGGGGGCAGCTGCCCCCTCTCCTATGGCTGTGCATCCGCCCCTGGGTGTGTGACTCCAATGTCAAGTGAGATCATGTATTTATAGTAATATAGTTCTTTGATGCTCACGCCAAGTGGAGGATACATCCAATTTATTATGTTTGGATAAACCAAGTGGAGAATAACATCCAATGTACTATGAAATGACACACATAGTGGAAAAGAGAATCCAATGCCATATAATGTGCTATGAAATGACACACATAATGGAAAAGACAATACAACAAAATTGACCTTTTGTAACACTTTGCTTGCAACACTTTTATTTAATGTTACATATAACATTTGGACTTCAATTTATGCAACACTTCTATAACTGTTGCATAAACTTCCAAAGCAGAGAATTACGCAACAATTATTGAAAGATGTTGCATATTTTCAGTGTTAATGTGTTATGTAACATTTATTTTCTGTCGTTGCATATTATTAAGTATGATGTAACATTTATTTGCTAAGTGTTGCATTTTTAATTTTATTATCTAAGTGTTGCATTAAACAAAACAAAAAACATCTAAGTAGTTGTTGAACGGCTCTTAATTTATTTATAATGAGCCATAGTTGTTGAACGACTCTTAATTTATTTATTTAGTTCTTAAAAAATTATTATGTCCTTCCTTCAAAAAAAATTATTAGGTCCTCATAACACCATTTAAGTCTAAGGATGACTTTAGTTGTACTAATATTTTATGATGTAGTTTGGGCTGGCCTGATTTAATCTGAATTGGTCTTGTTTCATCAATGTCTGGTGTAGTTGTCAAAGCCTAGTATGATCTAATCTGATTTGGTCTATTTATATTTGGTCTGGTTTGATATGTTTAAGTCTGGTTTGTTTTAGTGTAGTCTGGTATGGGTCTAAAATGAATCAAAGTAAAAACTTCTAACACCATAACACTACCTTTAATGATAGACAGTCAAGTTTAGGGGTTAGCAAATGGGTATTAGAATCGTGGTCTGATCCAGGTAATTGCAGTTCGGGTTCAAAACAGACCGGTTCCATTTGTTGTTGGTAA